GACAACCGCCCCGTAATGGGACCCTGACAGGGGCGGACGGGGGGGGCGGGGCGCATCCTCCAGCATCTCCGGCTGCTGGGTGAGTGCTGGGGAGCACGGCCAGGTTTGTGGGCTCTCCCAGAAGAGCATGTTCGATCTTTGTGGTCAGAGGAGCTCTTCTGGGCTGGATGGACCACAGGTCAGGACCAGCTGGGCACTTTTTACGTTCACACGCGATGCTTGCTGCATCTCACAGCTGTTCCAGTGCCCTCTTGCAGGAGCCATTCCAAAACCCTCCTGTAAAACCTCGCTTTCTAGAAGTTAGCTGGGCAGAAGGCAGCTGGCAGAGGTGTGCTCACCCGCAGAGATGCTGGTGCCGGTGAGCGGTGCCGGGGCCCATCAGCGCAGGCAGCGAGATGCAGGGGCCGCAGTGCTCTGCGGTCCCCAAGGCTGGCTCCCCTCTGCCAGCTGGCTCCCGGGCCGCGGCGGGCGCACGGGAGGAGAAGCAGCCAGAGCTGAGGCTGGCACGACGCCAGCAGTTATGCAGGCAAGGGAAAAGTGCAGTTCAGAGCTGGGAGAAGACGTGAACTCCAAAAGAACTTTTTGCTCAGGAGCATGGGGTCCACACGCTAGCTAATATGAGGTTAATGCCATCTTGCATCTAGCACCAAAAACATAATTTAAAACTGCACAACTGGAAACCTCGAATTCCAGTGCGACTGGAATGGAAAGCATCAGTATACCTGGAAACCAGCAGATGCTCTCACTGCTGTGTTTCCCAGAAAAACAAAAAAAGGGGGTAGAGTTCTTCCTCATAACTACTCTGAGAAACCAATATGATGCTCCTCTTGAGAAAGCAGTTTAACCACATCTGTCCATCTGGGTAGGAGAGACGGTCGCTGTTTCACAGTACAAGTGCAAGTTAAAAACAAAGGGAGATCACATCTATAACTGTATGTCCCAGGCAAAGGGGGTGGGAGGAACCCTCTAACACAGGAGGATATGTGAATCCCCAGAGAACTGCCCTGGTCCAAGGAGCTCACTCCAGAGAACTGAGGAAACTCAGGCATGGGAACCTTGGGTACCCTTCCTAGCTGTTTGCATTCCCCACGGTCAGGGTACGTGGTCTTCAAGCCCTCGGCCACGTGCTGGGCAGGTGACGCGTGTTCTCACACTGCCCAAGTCTTGCAGTGCTCAGGAGACCCACAGGAGCATCTGGGAGGGCAACACCGGTCCTGCAGCCTCACAGCAATGGGGCTTTGTGATCCCATGTCCATGGGGAGGTCGAGACAAACAGCCTGGACCTGACAGGCAGGCCAGCAGGACCAAGAGAAGAAATAATCCTACCGACAGCCTTGGCCAAGAGAAATTCAGGAGAGAACGGAAGGACTGGGACCCCACGCAGCAACTCAGAGATGTCGAACAGAGGGAGCACAAAGACAGCTGTAACAGCAGCTTATTAGATACATTCTCCCCAGCAACACACTGGCATTGACAAACCCATTTCTGCATCCAGCTGTCTAACTACTTGTGCTATTTGCATTTCAGGACTCATCCAGACAGGTCAGGGTGCTCCTCACTCTCGTGTTTGCCTTTCCAGGCAAGAGATTCAACCCCTAAGTTTGCAATGGGGTTTATGCTGGCTGGCAAAAGGATGCTGTAAACATCAGCGCTGTGCAGCCCGGTACCGCGGTATTCCCGACAAGCTGTGCAGGGCTGCTCTGGCCCCGTCTCCCTCGCCGGCTGCAGCCCCACGGTCAGGCAGCGATCAAGTCTCCTCACCCCGGCTGCCGCCATTGTGCTGGTCCCGCACACAGTGCAGAGATCGCCCGCGCCTTCGCACCGCACCGTCACCGCAGACGCTCAGGCAAAGGCTGGAGACAGCAGAAGGATCTCGGTGTGGGGGAAAGCTGTGCAAACCTGGAGACCGCTGCTACCTTCCTGCCGGCACCGCCTTAACCCATGCAGCACTAGTCTGTTTATTTTGCAGGTTATTCACTCTTTTCAAACATCTCTCTGCCCTTTCTATAAAGCCCTGCCATGAAGCTTCAGTGCTTTGGCTCTTGTAGCTCTTTCAGTCCATTCATCCTCTCCCTTTATAACATGCACCCTTGAAAAATCATGTTCTACAACTCAGCACTAGGACTCAGCCTTATTTTCGGGACTTACCAGCGCTCCTGAGCACATCAATCTGAAGCTACTTTAAGACAGGCGAATCTCTTAAAAACCCACTGTGATACGAAGGCTGTGGCAGAATCCAACTCATTTAACATTTCTGGGAGATGACTAACATATTTGCTATGCTACTCACATTTTTGGGCTAGGGGCAGTAGCTTTCTCTTTATTCTACACAGCACACATCAAACCAGCACATTTCTCCCTACAGCTAAAATATTAGCGTCGCTGGTTTGCATTATAGTAATGCCCAAAGAAACCAAGCGAGACAGGGATCCTGGTGTGCTAGATCCTGTACAAACCCCACAAAAAACTACCACCTCAAGCCCCCAAACCAGACAATAAAGCCTGAGGATGCGGAATGTGAGGGGAGTGGAGGTCTGGAAAGATGCAGCCCCCAGTTCAAGGTCCCTCAAGGAGTTCTGTGGCAGAAATGAAAAGAAAATATGTCTTCAGGGACAACCCTCCTCACCACCGGACCAGACCGCCGCCTTACACAGTTACACCAAGCAGAGCGTTACTTCAGTCTCCGGGAAATTTACTGACATCCTATGGATTTTCAAATAAATGCAGGAAGCTTTCCATGGAAACGGTGCAGAGCCAATTTCTGATGAAAGGGATCGGACGCATGTGTATGTAATACCAGACAGCCAAAATGGTATCACTGCTTCAATTGTTCAGAGCATTTTTCCAAATTCCTGAAGGTTGGGAGTAACTTAGGCTGGCTCTAGGAAGAGTCCTGGCTAGAAACCGTTAAATATAACAGACAGCAAAACAGCATTAAAATCTCACTAGCATTTGAAGGAGATGAAACCCCAATGCTGGTAAGAAACCACGGAGTAAAGAATGCAAACATCCTCCTCCTGGAATCCCTTTAGCTCTGGAAATTGTAAATTATTATTTTTCTCCACCAACTGCTCTTCCCACCCCCCCCCCATAAATCAGTCTTACTGACCAGAATTTTGTCCTTTCAGCTCTGCAACAGAAGCCTGGAAAATTGTGTTTCGGGCACTGGGAGAGAAGACCTAAACCAGATTTGTCCATTTAGAAAATCATTTCTAATCTAGGGCCACTGTTGAGGAAGACCAAACCCTGGCATTTGAAAGGCATGGTACAGAAGGCACGGCCAAGTTCTCTGAACAGGAGCTGGGACTCCCAGAACAACTGCCCAGGAGCAGCTCCAGATGCTGCTTCTGCGCTGAACCAACACGTGCAAGGAGGTATTGCTTAACAGAGTTAGAAAGCATCTTGCAACAAGCTGTAATATACCCCTGGTTTCTCCAAGCAGCATGAAAATTGTGCTTCAGGTTTGGAAACTTGGCCTGAATGTGAGAATTGGCTAAATCCACTTAAGGTCATGGTGCCTTTATATAGAAACACGAGACATTTGGGGGATGGAACCAATATCTGAGCTATAGACAAGCCCTTGGTTGGAACGCCACCCTGCCCCTGGTTCATTCAGTAGGTAACTCAGTAGATCGTTCTGCTCATCAGTACATCATGGCCAGAGTCTCAGACAGCGAAGATTATACACAACTGCTAGTTTTTCAGCAGCACCCTCCTCTTTAGCCCTATTTTTCCCAACACTTTAAAATTTGGAAATTGTAGAGATGCTGAAGAGTAAATAACTTGAACTAGAGAGAACTGCTGGCGTTCATTGATTCTTCTTTCAAGGAATAACATTGAGCCAGTAATTCAAATTTGTCAGAAAAATGTACACAGAGCTTCAATTTAGGAGGAAGCAATAAATACCTT